CCAAATTTCCAAACGACTCTTCGCCACCACCCACACCCAGCTTCCCGCCCTATGACGTTCGGACACTTCACTTCGTGGCATGCGGACGACCGTGGCTACTATTCAGGGCCCCGCGGCCGACGACGACGGCGTGCGCGCGCGAAGAAAAAACGAATGTGTCCCGCATGGTATTATTTGACAGGGATGATGGCCCTGGCAGGTGCGCAACCGTTGTTGCAGAAATTCGAAAAAGTTGCTCGCAAAAGCCCGTTTGACAGAAATGATTAAAAAGTGTTGGGTTTCCTACGAATCCGCAAGAGCGCGCGGGATGAAATTTTGATCATTCTTTTGTTGAAAAACCATTGGTTTTGTCATGTTTTTATGTTACAATCGCTACGAAAACTAAGGTTTTGGAAGGATTTCGTCTTGCGCGCGAGAATGTCCACTTTACCTATTTTTTTTGCAAGGGATTCTTGAAGTTTGGTTGTGTTACAACAAGAAATGTCCACTTTAGCTGATTTTCTGCAAGGGAAAACCGATCGTAACAACACAGCCGGATCTGGATGACATCGTTTTACCTGAGACTTCCTCACGAAAATGATGAAAATGTGGCTGCGGCCTAGGCGCGGCGGGGGGGCCATGCACCAGGGGTCCCAACAATACTTATTCTTTAGAAGTAATAATGTTCAACAACAACAACAACAACAACAACAACAACAACAACAACGACGACGACGACGACGACGACGACGACGACGACGACGACGACGACGACGACGACGACGACGACGACAACAACAACAACAACAACCGACGACTGGCGACCGACGAAAACCAAACGACCATGCACACCAACGACGAAATTTGCCTGGCGAAGGACCCAACCATATGCAGCTGTGAATGCCGGAAATCTGAATATCGTCTTCGGTGGCGCAACCTCTGGGTAGGGGGAACCGCATGCGGACACCCCCACTGGGGCCTTCGGTGGAGCTCCCTATGGGGCCACGAAACGCCCTTCGGTGGAGCTCCCTATGGGGCCACGAAGCGCTGCCCTGGGTGGGGGACCCGCATGCGGACACCCCCACTGGGGCCTTCGGTGGAGCTCCTTAAGGGGCCACGAAGCGCTGCCCTGGGTGGGGGAACCGCATGCGGACGGATGCCCCTGGGTGGGGGAACCGCATGCGCCCCCCCCCCCACTGGGACCTTCGGTGGAGCTCCCATGGGGCCACGAAGCGCTGCCCTGGGTGAGGGAACCGCATGCGCCCACCCCAACTGGGGCCTTCGGTGGAACTCTCTACGGGGCCACGAAACGCTGCCCTGGGTGGGGGAACGCATGCGACTGGGACCTTCGGTGGAGCTGCCTGGGTGGGGGAACCGCATGCGCCCACCCCCACTGGGGCCTTCGGTGGAGCTCCCTATGGGGCCACGAAACGCTGCCCTGGGTGAGGGAACCGCATGCGCCCACCCCCACTGGGGCCTTCGGTGGAGCTCCCTATGGGGCCACGAAACGCTGCCCTGGGTGGGGGAACCGCATGCGCCCACCCCCACTGGGGCCTTCGGTGGAGCTCCCTATGGGGCCACGAAGCGCTGCCCTGGGTGGGGGAACCGCATGCGCCCACCCCCACTGGGGCCTTCGGTGGAGCTCCCTGTGGGGCCACGAAGCGCTGCCCTGGGTGGGGGAACCGCATGCGCCCACCCCCACTGGGACCTTCGGTGGAGCCCCCTATAGGGCCACGAAGCGCTGCCCTGGGTGGGGGAACCGCATGCGCCCACCCCCACTGGGGCCTTCGGTGGAGCTCCCTGTGGGGCCACGAAACGCTGCCCTGAGTGGGGGAACCGCATGCGTCCATCCCCACTGGGGCCTTCGGTGGGGCCTCTATGGGGCCACGAAACGCTGCCCTGTGAGGGAACCGCATGCGCCCACCCCCCCTGGGGCCTTCGGTGAAGCTCCCTGTGGGGCCACGTGTGCCGAGAGCAAAGGCAAGGAGGGGGAGGGGGAGGAGGGAGGAGGGAGGACGGAGGAGGTGGAGGAGGAAGGAAGGAAGGAAGGAAGGAAGGAAGGAAGGAAGGAAGGAAGGAAGGAAGGAAGGAAGGAAGGAAGGAGAGGAGAGGAACGCGGGGCACCGTCTCTTCAAAACGAGGACCCAACACCACAGGATGGTTGGGAAAAAAACGCACTAAGTTTGCCATCCCCATGCCTCGGGTTGAATAACCAAAACCACGCTGACATGTCAAATAACAAACAAACGCGCCCGTCCGCAAACATAACTGATCACGCGACGACGGCGTCGGCGACGCCGACGGCGCCGAGGACAGCGCGAACAACCGACAATGACGACAACGAAAGCACCGACGTCAACCGACGGCTCGCGACCCCCAAATAACAAACAGCATCCCCGACGACGACGACAACGACGCAAGCCACCCCAATTAGTTCCAACCCTCGCCCCTCGATATCATTACCAAAGCAAATCCATGATGTCGCATCCACGCTAAACGCGCCCGTCGGCGAGCAGAGCGCTGACAACGACAGCGACGACGACGACAAGGACGGGATCTACAACAACAACAACAACAACAACAACAACAACAACAACAACGACAACGCAGGCAACAGTAATAACCGACGACTGGCGACCAAGAGAAGGCAAACGAACATCGACGACAACCCCGACGCAATCCGACCTAATTTTGCCATCACCGTACCTCGGGCTGACAACCGAAACCACTCCGATATTTTTCAGTTTTAGGGCAAACGCGCCCGTCCGCGAATACAGCTGATGACGCTACGACGGCGGTAGCGACGTCGACGACGAATAAGACAACTCGAACAACGGACAACCACAACAACAAACGCAACGTCGACAATCGACGGGTCGCGCCACATGGAAAACAAACGACCATCGACGACGACGACGGCACAAGCCGCCCCAATTTGTTCACACATCGTGCTTCGGGGCCATTACCAGTCTTTCTCTCTCTGCGTCTCTCTCTCTTTCTCTCTCTCTCTCTCATCCCACCTTCCATGCCGGAGAATTCAATTGTTCCGCGCCTGCAGAAATTCCTGGTTTCGCTCCGAGCCAGATTTCCGGGTTTGGCAAAAAAAATCCAAGTTTCAGTCGGAATCCTGGGTTTCGCGAGTCCGCTCCGAGCCGGGTTTCGACTCAGAAAATTCCGAGTCTGGAGCGAACTCCCGGGTTGAATTCTCGACCCCCCCCCGGACACCTTTGCCAAATGTCCTCCGGCCCGTCCCAGACCTTCCATGGCGCTTAGCCGGGTCTAGCCAGCAGACCCCAAGCGACCAGAGCGGTGATCAGAGAGGCCGAAGAGAGACCCAAAACAGCACAAGGGCGCTCCAAGAAGGACCCAGATGGCCTCCAGAGGCCCCCAAGACGGCCCAGGAGGCCCTGAATAATATTCCCAGAACGCAAAACCGCGTCATTCCCTGGAGGAAACATACATTTTTAGAGTATTCGTTGTCTTAGCGGTGCTCAAACCAGCCAAAAAGGCCTCTGGTATCGCCCCAAGACGGCCCAAGAGACCTCCACGAGAGCCTCTAGACGGCCTGGATGGCCCCAAGACTGGGAGCCCCGAGTGAGTCAACAAAAACGCCCAACAGGCCCGCACAAGGCGCCCAAGAGAAGCCAAAAAAGGCCATGGGAGGCCACCGGGGGAGCCTACGTAGCCCCCCCAAGGTCCTTAGGGTCCCTAGAGGGCCCAAGCTCCCTAACACGGCCCAAGATGGCCCCAGGACGGCTCGAGAGGGCCTCAAGCCAGCGCACCAAGGCTCCAACAAGGCCCACACGGCGTTTTCCACCAAACCGACTTGAATCCCGGGTTCGCAACCACATTTCCGGGAAATTTGTTGCGAACCCAGGATTCGGTGTAATCCCAAAGACTTGCTTATCTTCGCGTGCCCCGTTGCGACCCGCTGCAACACGACATCCTCGGCTTGGCATTGCTTCATTGCTTTGTACTTAGCGGCATTGCTTGACATTGCGTCGGTTTGCTTTGCATTCATTCGCGTGGTTTGCCACTCCTCGGTGCGGCGCAACCGAAATTCTTCGCCGTCCCCCGACGGCACCATCTCCTTCCCTCATCCTGCTCCTCTCTGGGTCCTCCTCCTTTTCCTCCTCCTCCTGCACGTCCTCTTCTTCCGCTCCACCACTCGTCCTCCCCCACATCCGCTTCCCTCCCCTCGCTTCCCGGAATTCCATCCCTCCTATCGTCCGCCATCCGCCCGGCGCCTATCGGGAGTCCCTGGAGGCCCGGCAAGGGCCACGGACCGCCAGAACTTTCGAAGATTTCCGAAAACCACCGCAGGTAAAGGACCAAGTTTCCAAGGCCACTAGGGATGGCGCAAACGACCAACATAAGCAAAGCCTCAGGGACCAAGGTGCATGGCGCGAAACGCTAATGCATGGCGCGAAACGCTAATGAAACTAATGTATATACGTATGTATATATATATATATATGATTGTCGGACTCTGGCGGCCCTCGCCAGGTCCAGGGACCGTCGAAAAGCAACTCAAAAAGCGACTCGGCATGGAAAACCAGCACAGCGGAAAGGGTCGGGACTTCGGGGGATCGCGCATTGAAATAATCGAGACATCGGGTTATGGGTCCTCTCGTTCTGCGGCCGGAAACTTTGCGTAGCGTGTCGCGGCGGCGGCCCCAGCAGAACGCCATGCCCTGCAAGGTGACAGCGTGGCGCTCCGCTTTGCGGGGTGGGAGGCTGGGAAAAGCTCGGGACGTGGACGCCTGGGGACCAGGACGTGGTGAGCGTGTCGCTCCGCTCCTCGGTGAACCAGAGCCCGCGGAGCGGCACGCCGAGCAAAAGTCCCCGACCGTAGAACGCTCATCTACTGTCTGGTGTTGGCATGTCTTCTTCAGTACTGAAGAGGGACCCTCAAGAGACCAAAGGGAAACTCCAACATGCGTCTTGAACTCCAAATCATGCAAGCTTCGCTGCTGCCCTAGCGCGGTGGCAGGGTTTGCCGCAGGCAGCTGGATAGATGCCGAGCCCTCCCAGTGACAGGCAGAACGCCACACCTGGAGGAGCAAAAAGCTGCATTAACATAAACGTTCGGAAATGTATGTTTACAGTGAAGCTGCTACCGCAAGGAACGCTGAATGAGAAACGGATCCGTTTTTTGGCACCAAAGAGCGCCTGGGTGAACGAAGAGAGCTAGAGGAACAATCACGGAATGACTTAAGGAAAAGCGAGTCCCTTCCGAACCCAAACCGGTTCTTATCTCAGCGCCTTGACTGTATGACATTGCTGCTTCTTCTTCGCGCACCGTACAACCACGACATCCTCCCGTGCTGCACCTGCCACGCGAACAGCGCGCTGTAGAAATCGCTGGTCAGCAGCGACAGGTTGAACAGGGCGGCGTCCGCCATCGTGAAGAAGAGGCTTGTCAGCACGTAGACGGCGCACATGCAGAGCTGGTAGCCGAAGAAGCATGCCACCGTCTGGGAATTCCTAACCAGCCTCGAGCTCATCCCCTTCCCCAAGATCGACAAGCCAACATGCGATGACAATCTTAAGGATGCGCCCTCAGAAACTGACGGGATTCCTAAGATCGGCATCGTGATAAGGCGATGCCAGTCGTATGTATTGGGATAGTTTCCAGGCTGGTACGTTCCAGTTGCTCCGCGCCAGGGCCCCGCGCTCCAGGGCCACCGCCTGCACGAACGAGATCGCGGACCCCCAAGCGCCCAGCATCCCCAGTGCCTCTGGACGGCTGCAGCCGCCCTTCAGCAGCCGCTCCTGCATCACGTTGGACAGCCCGTACAGACTAGCACCACACAAAACCAAAACATCGCCAATCCACGCCGGCCCCCTCGGACTAGGGCCAACCCTCCCAACAACTACGTCGGAGAACACGGCGGTGGCAAGTCCTGCTACGCAGACGCAGCACGCTGCGACGTGGCGCGGGCCGTAGCGCACGCGGAGGATAAAGAATGAACAGGCAATGGCGCTCGGTATTGCAAAGCAGTCCAGCAGAGTGACCGACACGATGGAGGTGTACTGGAACGCCGCCACGACCTCAATTGTTCTAGAAGACGCATGGGGGGCGGGGCGTTTATATATATAGAGAGAGAGAGAGAGAGAGAGAGAAAAAAAAATAATAATACCTAAAACACATAAATAACAGTTCCCACTGAGTGTTCTTAACTTGACCAAGACGTTCTAACGACGATATCATGGAATGTGGACATCACGCGTGCGGCCTTGTGATACATAATTCTATATATATATATATATATATACAAGAGGTGCCGAACACGGACGGAAGACGAGCAAGTGGGCCACGAACCGATCACGGCCCTGAAAACGTTACACAAAGGGGCCCCAAAACGGAAAGAAACTGTCAATCGTGAAAACAGAACAAAGCAACGCCTCGAGCGTCTTCAATATCATCTAAGGCCGCGACCAGGTAGTTCGCCTCCACGTCGCAGAAAGCCCACAAGGCGTACTGCCACGAAGGTGCCGCCAATGGCCTCCCTCCCCGCAGCGCCAACGGCAGGTGCAGAGACAGCGCCAGGTAGTTTAGGCTGGACTTGGAAGAGGCCAGGGCTCTGAGCAGAACGCCGTCGGGAAATTCGATATAGCGTGTCGTTTGGGTGGCCCCACCGACATCCCATGGTTTGCGTGTTGTTCCGCTCCGCGGGGCGGAAGGCTCGGGACATCCACGCCCAGGGCCCGCCAAGAAGATACTGTGTCGCGCCGAAGCGCGGCGGGCCAAAACCAGCGAAACGACGCGCTATCCCAAAGTTCCCGACCGAAAACCTAAAAAAAATCAATCAAGAGGGGGGAGGGAGGATGAAGACAAATTCACCCAAAATCTGTCCCCTGACCCCTCCGTGGGTCGAAACTGACCATGTGTGCGAGCCGCGTCCAGCCGTGGTAATTAAAGGAGACTTTCTGCCCCATTTCTGGTGGCCGGACCCTGTGCTGGGCCACTTCAACCCCCTGGCCGGCTCCAATGCTGGACTGCGTCACCGGGACGTCGATCCCCCCGTTCGCCAGCAGCGTCGAACATACGCTCGAGCCCGTGATCAGCAGGGACACCAGCTGCCCGAGCGCGAACGAGAGCAGCCCCCGCGAAAGCACCGGTGCCGGCGCCAGCAGCGCGGCCATCCCCGGGCGGGACGCCGAGGGCCGCCGAGAGGCAAGGCCCGAGGATCGAGTCTGCAAGATCGAGGTACCAAGATCGAGGCCCGAGGCCGTAGATCCGAGGACTCAGCACCGAGGCTCGAGGTCCGTGGATCGAGGTCCGAGCGCCTGCTTCGCGGCGTGGGGCCCAGGCCTCCCGCGCCCAGCGAAGTGCTGAGCGCCCCGCCTTCCCCTCGGCCGCCCAGGTTCTCACCCCCGCACCGCCCTGGGGAGAACTTGGATCACCGAGGTGGTTGCTAAGTGGTTGGCTCGGATGTAATCACTTAGCCCACTTCCTAACCAGGATACCTAAGTAGGCTATGGACACTTAGCGGTTCGAGGATGTATCCTGGTTATCAATGGTTCACTAACTTGGTTAGCTCGGTGGCTAACCTAGTTAGACCTCAGCGGCTAACCTAGTTAGCTCGCTCCGCTAACCTCGTTAGCAAGCCTCCGTAACTAGGTTACCGAGGTCTCAGAAACGCTTGAAAAACGAAGGCGGAGGAGGAGGAGGAGGAGGAGGAGGAGGACAAGGAGGAGGAGGAGGAGAAGGGAGGAGGAGGAAGGTGGGAGGAGGAAGGCGGGAGGAGGGAGGAGGAGGGGAGGAGGAGGAGGGAGGAGGGAGGAGGGATGATGATGATGATGATGATGATGATGATGTGAGGAGGAGGGGAGGAGGAGGAGGAGGACGAGGAGAGGAGGAGGAGGAGAAAGGGAGGGGGAGGAGGAGGAGGAGGAAGGAGGAGGAGGAGGAGGAGGAGGTGGGAGGAGGGAGGACGGAGGAGGGAGGAGGGAGGAGGAGGAGGAGGAGGAGGAGGAGGAGCAGCAGCAGCAGCAGCAGCAACAACATGTGGAGCAGGAGGGGAGGAGGAGGGGGAGGAGGAAGAGGGAAGACCGCCCCCTGCGAGACTCTGCCCCGTCGTTCAGGCGTGCGGCGGATCGGGCGTAGCCTTCTCACGGACTCGCGGCACAGGGAAAAATGACTCGAACGTATCGTGTTCGAACTGGCACGTTTCGTGTTATTTTGCTTTCTCCTCCTCTCTCCTCCTCCTCCTCCCTCCTCCTCCTCCTCCTCCTCCTCCTCCTCTCCTGTCCTCCTAATCTTTCTGCTCCTCCATCTTCTCCTCCTTAAGCCCTCCCTTGCTAGCGTGCCTGTTTTCAGCAGTGCGCCATGACAGTCTCAAGCACGGCTCAAGGTTATCTCAAAGTTTCAAGGCCCTCCCCTTTGTATTCGACCTTCCTGTCACCTCCCTCAATATCACAAAGCACGCAAAGCTCGCATATTAAGCTTGGGCGGCACAATCATTTGTGACAGTCTGCCCTGGTCGCACGGCCAAAAAAATGCAATGATCTAGGATCTTGTCGGAGTGCATCAGGACTGGGTTGTCATCCCGTCTGCACTTCGCGATGTGTTCTGATACTTCAACAGCAGGCCAATTAGACACACAGGAAAACAACACACCGCTCAAGCTAACGTGGAAATAGACTTGACCGAACAAGACTCTGGACGTCCCGTCAGGGCTGAGGAACGCAACTGAATCACCGATTTGAACAGCTCTATTGTTGATCTGGCACGCTTTGGCTGTCAGGACGGTTTCTCCGCACAGGTTTCCAAGGACCGAAGACAGCGCAGCTTGAAGTTTCTTCGAAACGACCCTCGGGCATAACAGATCTGAGCGGCCAATCTGGGAATTCTACAAATACCATAGATGCTGGCATGTAACTTCCTCGAGGAGGCCGCGGTCATACCCCTGCGTGTTGCGACGTTGCTGCGCAAATGTTTTTACGGCCCTGTGTTTGCGCTCCATCACAAACGTAGATATTAATCATTGTTGCAACACCAGTTGCTTGGGCAGATGAAGGGCCTCATGGAATGTTGGTTTCCAGGGATCGGAGCCATACGCTCTCTTATGAGCTTCTAGGTGTGATACGATCGCAACTCCGAGCTCCTTCCCTGAAGCCAATCCTGTGTTCGCACTCTGGAGAAGGCTCAACGCGTTGCAAAGCAAGGTCCCGCTAGCGACTTCAAGCTGGCAAACAGTGTGTGGGGTGACCACATCTTTCAGGTGCTTATGCAAGGCAGGATATACATTCAAGTACTCGCTAGCGCTGCCTCCTGGGCTGTGGTTCTTATGCTTTCTACAAACGTCTTTTCCATCGCCAAATGCAGTTGGCCATTTCCACTGCTGAAGGTACTCATCAAACTTATTGGCCCCAAGACGTTTCCCGCCCAATCGCGAGAGAAGTTCTTTGAACCCCTGAACGAAAACACCGTCGACCAGGTATATATGCATGTAGTCCCACACAATTACCCTGGGCATACCGAACTGAAGAAATGGGTCCTGCATGAACCCCGTCGGACAATAATTATAGCCAACCGCCATCTCCAGGGATTCCAAAGATTCTTTCGTTGTTGCAGTGGGTGCCCCATCCCGCAATGCCTGCTGGATACCCATGATCGGCTCCGCCGTGTGCAGTTCAAACTCGCCGACATCCGTTTCAATTGAGCTCACGAACTCATTGGACTTTGATAGCCATGGACAATTCTTCGCCAGAGCATTTCTGCAGATCATACATATCTTATAGCCACCACTTCCATTGCAATGCAATGTGAACTTCTGAGCGCGCTCATCCTGGATGATCACGCTCAAGTCGCCATGGAGAAGCCGAGGCTGTCGCTCGCCAGGAACCTGGAACGCTATCCCATCGCGAAGATCTGGGCGATGAGGCCTGCCAAACCAAAGTTTCAAGAGGTGCTTCGCGATCTCTCCCATGCCACCAGGGAACTCTTTCTCTTTTGTACTACGCATCGTGCACACTGCGAACCACAGGTTCTCATGGCTGAGCAAGGGGAACCATGAATATTTGATGCTCCAAAAACAACACAGCACTTTTCTCTTACTGGGTTCGGCCAGCACGTTTCCTGGGGCCACTTCGTCTGTATAGAAGCACAAGCTCACTTGATTAGAGCTCTTGTCAAGAGTTGAGGTCACAAGGTCTTTGAAGTTCTGCGACCTCCCCATCGCTACTTGGAGAAACGCCAACGGATGCTGCACCCACAACTCCAGAGGTGTCGATCGGCCTGCACGTGGTATCTCAATCCGCTGGACAAGAGGGCCGAAGTCAGTTTTCTGGCATGCGGCCTCTTGCCCCCGACGGGCAATTGTGGCTGGCGAGAACGCATCGGGAAGGCCTTCTGCCTCCACCTGCGCGAGAAGCCGGGAAGCCCCGCGCGCGCTCACGAAACTCGCGCGGCCGAGATCACACAACTTTGGTCGCTTTGCCATCTCGCAGCGAATTTCAAACGCTGACCTGTGCTACATTTGGGCCAAAACGGGCACGCGCGATGACAGCAATGCCTGTCGATTGTGAGGATGTTGATGCTTGGGGCCAACTGTATTTCAGACAGTGAATACGATCACCCATCGTGCATTAACCAAATCATTAGGGGGACTTGCGACGCGCGGCAGACTTGCGAAAAAAAAAAAAAAAAAAAAACTTCCCTTTCCCGTCCTCCCCCTCATCCTCCTCATCAGTTGCTCCTCCAGCGCGTCTTCAGGAAGGTCTAGTTGGACCTTTGCCGCCAAAACGGGCACGCGCGATGACAGCAATGCCTGTCGATTGTGAGGATGTTGATGCTTGGGGCCAACTGTATTTCAGACAGTGAATACGATCACCCATCGTGCATTAACCAAATCATTAGGGGGACTTGCGACGCGCGGCAGACTTGCGAAAAAAAAAAAAAAAAAAAAACTTCCCTTTCCCGTCCTCCCCCTCATCCTCCTCATCAGTTGCTCCTCCAGCGCGTCTTCAGGAAGGTCTAGTTGGACCTTTGCCGCGCTGAGACCCGACGGGGTCTCCCAAGACAGCCCCCCCCCCCCCCCCCCCCCCCCCCCCCCAGCTCCAAGAAGGTTCCATGACTACAATGCAGGGGGCCAAGACGACTCCAAGACTTAAGGGCACCGCTAGGAGAGCAAACGAAAAGCTGGCCAATTTTGCCCGAAACGCCAGGGCCCCAAACGCGCCATCAAGGAGGAGGGTGGAGGAGGAGAAAGGAGGAGGAGGAGGAGGAGGAGGAGGAGGAGGAGGAGGGAGGAGGCAATAGGCGAGGGAGGAAGGAAGAGGATAGGAGGAGGGAGGGGGAGAGGGAAGAGGAGAGGGAGGGGGAGGAGGAGGAGAATGCGGAGGAGGAGGAGGAGGTGGGCTTGCCTTTCTCTCTGTCAGGTCCTACTGCGTCGCCCACCTCAGTGAAAAAAACTGCAGGCCCCTATTTGGTAGTGGAGCGCTGCTGGTCACATCTAGGTACATTGAGCTGGGAGCACATGCGCGCGCGAACGCTGTCTAGAAGGAGCATCGCACAAACACCCATAATGAACGATTACTCTGCTCGCGCGCAGTCGGAAAAAGAGCAGCCACCTACTTAGTTGACTTCTCATATACGTGGCTCGCAAAGGCCAATGCTGCCCTGGCAACCGTGATGATGTCTGACTGCGAGAGGCCAGCCTTGCGCGCGAGTGTCTTCGCGCCATTATACGCCCTGGAGGTGTAGGCGTTCCTCGAGCGATCCCCGATGTCACTGGCCTTGCAGAGATGGCTGCAGTCGATCTCCAGGCACGAGCCTCGCAGACTCTTGTTTTTTAAAATATAAAATTTTTTAAAAGGAAAAAACTCCCCCTCCTCCTCCTCCGTCCTCCTCTCCTCTTCTTCCTCCCCCGCCGTCCTCCTCTCCTCTTCCTCCTCCTCCTTCTCCTCCTCCTCCTCCTCTTCCTCGCCCCCCTCCTTCTCCCAGTTCTTCAAATTCGGTTAAAAGAAACAGTTTTAACCCTCGTCTTCCTCCTGCCGCTCCTCCTCCTCCGTCTCCTCCGCTCCTCTCTCTATTTCTCTCTC